GTGTGTTAGAGACCTCTCCATAAGCATGCGATGAGCGAGTAGACGGCAGGTATGATGTCATGCAGGCATCCACTCTCACAATTCAGTATTAGCAGAACAGACTGGTAAAAATCAACACTTTCTAATTTCTCCTGAGTGGGAGTGTGTCTATCTCCAGCAATAACACTACTGGGCTTTCCACTGACCCTCACAGCGGCGTTCTTGTTGGTACTACAGTGGAAGGGCTTAATCGTGAGCAAAGACCATTTCAGTGAAGAATTTCATTACTGTGCAAAACTTCTTTAGCCACCACTAATTTCTTCATAGCAGCCAGACTTTCTTCTACTCCTGTCATTTTTTTCAAAGTGCTCTTGATCAATAGGTCTTCATGGTTTTTGAAACCTTTCAAGGTTTTTCTTTGGATATTGGCCGATTTTTCATTCAGTCCAGTCCTTGTACCTGACCATTTTCTATAAGAAGGGAAACGGGGAGAAAATGCTGAGGTATACCAAAACTTCCACGACCATCTGTAAAACACTGTCATGGTTTGAGGTGCATTTTAGCCACTGGTGCTGGGAATCTTGTGAAAATTGATGGAATTATGAACACAGAAAATTGCCATCAGTTTTTAATCCACCATGGAGTACCATCTGGAAAGCCTCTCACTGGCAACACGAACACATTCATTTTTCAGCATCACAATGATCTCAGTAAAGACATAATTACTAGAAAAAACACACACAGTGCAACACCATCAGACATGGATCGCCTCCCCAGAGAGCTCAACATTATTAAGCAGTGTTGGATTATCTTGACAAAAAACAGAGCAAAATGTCACTCAAGAAGCTTGGAGAACTATTCCTGAAGACTACATAAAGAAATGACAAAAAGCCTGAGAGACTTCAGGCTGTGTTGAAGAATAAAGATGGTCATAACAAATGCATTTCACATTTTCCTAGAAAAATACGAAGAGAAGAAGGGTGTTGCATTGCCTTAAAATGGACTTTTACACATGAAATCTTGATTCTCCTTTGTGATAAGATGGTCGGGGTTTTTAATCGATTAACAGCAGTGACAGGTTGTTAAGTGTTAGCCCTCTAATCCCAGAGCCATTAGCTGCTGCCTCTTGCAGAGTGAGTTCATTGCACTCATTGCTGAAGACAGCACTGACAGAATATTAACAGGGTTTATGTGAGCACTGGTCACCAGAAAGCCATTAAATCCTGAATTAAATCAAATGTAAAGGCTGGTAACTACTGAAGCTGCCGCACCGAAGCGTTTAACGTGGAGAATTTCAAGAGACCAAACTGCATTTTTGATCTGCACTGGACGGCAAGAGGGAAGTACATTTCAAAATACGCATCATACTTCTCATTTGTTGAGGTGTTACTGTTAGTTGCCCTCTTTTGTGTGTAAATTTTTGAGAAATGATCTGATCAAGATATACATTTAGCCTTAAATGCTGAGTAAAGAGTTACTGGCAGAAGTTAGGGTTAACCCTACCTATTAAAAAAAAAAAAAGGGGGGGGGAGACTTATAGGTAAGATGGGCTTAAGGTGCTAAAACGGTAGGTGAGCTCAGATGTCTTATTCAGGACTGGTATAACATAAACAAGCATTATTTTGAACCCTAAATCATGCAAAGCCATTCTATTAAAGTCAAAGAACAAAATAGGAAATCAGCACAAGTTCCTTTTATTACCTCAAGCACGGTTTGCTTTCGAAGCTACATTAATAAAAGTGAACTCAGGTTTCCATCATCAACATTTATTCGAGGTGAGTTTGATTTGCTTGTAAAATTGTTGCATATTTGTTCCAAAAACACCACAACTCGTTTAAAATGAGCGTACAAATGTGTAAATCTTGTTCCTGCTTGTGACTGGTGAAGTACATAATTCCCATCCGCATTGCAATACATTCCTCCTCGTAAGCTCCTTTGATCTTTTAAATACATTACTCTTTAATGACATCCACATCAGCCAATTAATATATTATACTTCAGTTGTTCCTCTCCCTGTAGTGTAAACAGCCTGTCGTGCATGTCTGGACTTCTTCCTACTCCCCCACCACCACCCCCCACCCGCTCTCCTAACAGGTACTTCCCGTGGTAGTGGTGGAATAATGAATAATGAATGGCAATAAGGAAGAGACGAGGGAAAGCCTCTGGGCTGTGTAGGTGAGCAACAGGTAAACATCACTGTGAATCTCTGTGACCTTTTCTCTCTCTTTCTGTAGAAGCCTAACTTCCAGGTTTAGTGACTACAACACTGGTGACATTTATATAAGTGTGTGTAAATGTGAGTGTGCCCTGAAGTATAAAATAACCAGCAGCTCATTAGTCCTTTGCCACTGGGGTAATGAGAATCATCTGTGGGCTAATGAGCAATAAGTGGGCAAGCATTGCGGATACAACTGGCTGCCTGGCTGAGAGAGAAAGGCGGAGATATCAGCAGAGTTAAAACAGAGACGAGAGGACAAAGGCAGGAAATCACAGAACAGAAAAGGAGATTGAAGCCAAAAAGACAACACTTGAGGAAAGAACGCAAAAGAACCAAAAAAAAAAAAGGGGAAAAGGGGGAAAAAGGGGCAGTTCAGGGGCCAGACAGCACAAAGTGGCCAGGGGTCATGGGGACAACTGGCTTCTCCATGGCAACCACCCTCATTAGAGCCGACTTAACTACATCATACCTCAGTGGAAACTAAATCTAATCATGTGCCCAGAGAGTGAAAGGTCACAGACCACTGTGGACAGTCTGATTGCATTACAGATTGGCAGAGACTGTTGATGAGTGTCTGTCTGGGTTTAGTCTGATTGGTGGACACACATGACCGTCTAGCTGACTGCATTAATACACAAGGCACAGGCCTGTCTATTAAACCTCAACACACTTTATTTCCAGACCAAAGCGTGTTTGCAGGCATTAAACATTTCCTTGCTGCGAGTCTTTGTGTCACCCCTCCCTCGCTTACTGCAGTCTCCAAACGTAGCACTAAAAACCTGCGTAAATACTGAGCTACGGTCTTTTATTCCCACCTTAATTTACTGCTTTTGTTTTGGTGGCATTTCACGGTTGTTTAGCTCTTCCCCCGATAAAGACGACATTGTTTTGACACCTCGTAAAATATCAATAAAGACTCCGTTACCATTAAAATAGTTTCCAGGTTTTTCAGAGCATAGCTGCACAGGCAGAGACCACCCCAGCTAACTTCTGATGCACACACAGTTAATTTCCTCTATAAGAAGGCTTGAAATGTCACAGAAAGCTCAGAGAAGAGCTTCAAGGTTTACTCCTAGTAGGCTCTCAAGAAGAAGAATTAAAAAAAATATGACTTTACAGGAGAACATATTTATTATTCTATACCTGAAAGGACTGCAAAATTAAACAAACCGACCATGATGGGCAGAAAACTGTTTTGCTTCTCCAAGCTAAACAAGAAACACACAGTTATAGATTGAACCAGCCAAGCATATGAATATTGTTTCGTTTTTAGATCTTACAACAGAAAAAGTGAGAGAAGCACTGCAGTAGATCCTGCAAACACATGCACAGTAACACATTCTCAAACATTCATATGCTCCGCATTTCTATTCACGGCCTCTAAAAAGTAGCTTTGCATAATTCATGGCTCAAAATAATCTTTATTTATTTTCTGGGCCTTGTTCATCCTCGATCTGAAAAAAGTCAATACATTATTAGCTAGCGCCCTTCTCCCTTTAAGTCAAGTATCGTATTGGCCTCCCCTTGCAAACAAAGCATATAAATAGCATGTTTGTAAGCAGCTGTGCTCCTGAGAGAACCTTATTAAGAATATCTGCTCTCATTGGTGTTATTTGCACGCTTGCTGACCTTGTGGCCATTTTAATATGAACCTGCACCATTGTAGCAGCAATTAAAGACAGATGTAAGGATATTAAAACAGGTCTGCTTTAAATAATCACTCAAGCTGAGAAATTGTGGACTCCATCCCTCATAGTTTTGCATAACTACACAAAAACATTAATATTCATTCAGTCAGAGGCTGATTTTTTATTCTGCAGTTTGATGAATCAGCTCTGCTGCAGACAGGTATATTCCAGGAACTGCTTCATCCACCATCTCTCTCTCTCTCTCTCTCTCTCTGTGTTGCCAGCTCCACTTTTACTTTTTTGGGAACAGGAACGTGGTCTGAGATCAAAGCAGCGTGTTATTAACCTTGATAGCTAGACTGCAGCACCTAAAGGAGGGTAATAATTGTCCAGCAGCTTTGAACCACTCAGAAGGTCTCTCTGTACTTCTAGTGAGCCGTTTTCACTCTGCGATCTGGTTTCTTTGACGGATTAAACAACTGCAAGATGAATATGTTCATCAGCTGACATTTACATTGAAATTTGTGCAAAAACAGCCTAAAACAGCTTAGTGTCAGTCCACTATTGCAGAATAAGAGGTACTTCAGGGCATCATCCAAGAATAATGGCTTTAATATTTCCTCCTGTATAAAACACAGCACATGGAGAGTAACACAAAGACTTGCTGTTTAGTTGCCTTACCCCTTTGACACCCTTCAGGTCTCCTTTCAGCAGGCTGTCCAGAGGGAAGGTGATGATGTTGTTCATGTTTTGGAACTGGAGGAAGTTGCAGAGAGACACAAATAAGAGTCGAAAGGTTACATCAGAGATTTTAAGACAGCAGGAGACTGAAAGTCACTGAGACGTAATCCTTTCAGCAGTGTCCTGTGTGCTGTGTCTCCTTGCAGTGGACATAAAAAAATCCAGAGTATCCAGAGTTTCAGCTCTTCATCTTAAGCAAATAATAGTGTTGAAAGGCTAATGCTGCGCAAATAAAGAAACTAGCAGACAAATTGTAACACAGAATACGTCACACAGGTTCAGTGGAAACAGTCACTAAACACTAAAAATAAATATGTGTAAACATCTAATGCGACAGCATGTATACACAACTGGTCATCCAGATACTTGCAAACTACTTGCCAAACAGTAGTGAAAACTGTGAAAAATCTCCCTCAAACAGGAAGCAAATACTGTTCTCCTTCAAAATAAAAGTTAAAAATGTTCTGGTTTTAGCAGTGAGATAAATCTTTTACTCTGAAGGAGAATGCTCTCAATTTCTGATTGGTGTTCCATCTTTTCAAGTTTCACTGCTTCTCGGAGAGTAAACGGTGAGTGTTTGCAGAAAAGTCCATGTACATGCAAACTATAGGCGATCACTACAGTCTGCTAGCAACCAAAGCAATCACAGGGAGGTTTTTATTGCGGCACGCTCTTTGGGACTGATTATACTTGCTAACCAGTCCAGGAATGCAGATTTTTTTCCTGGAAACCATGCTTGCCACGAGAGTCACAGACTTAGCTCTAGATTTGTGTGCTTGAGACCTGAATTGATCATTTGTTCAACTGTAGGAGATCCTTTCTAACACTGTAAGATCTTACCATACAAAGTGACTGTTATTGTGAATCGGTGGCATCTAAACAAAAGTGAATTGAATGAAATGCTATTAAGATTTTAGTCTGAAATGGATTCAGGAAGCGTTAAGCTTGTGAGAAAACATCGAGTGAAGGTGCAAAAGGGTTAATTACACATAGCTCAGTGTCTTGGGTCCAAAAATTCCACCACCCTTGGTATCATTTTCATTTTTAATCACATTTCAAACTTGTTAAAGACACAAATTCTGCCTTTAACTCGGCTGTTTCCAAGCTGCTATAAATGCCAGCCCCGACATGCAATCTAGGAACCCAGTGCTTTCTTAAGCTATTGGAGATTACATCTTCACATCCAGGTCAGGCAGAAGCTCATATTTCTTTAATATAAGACGCTGAGATCACACCAACACAAAATCTAAAGCTCCTGTTCTCGGTATGAGCTGATAAAGTGTGCGAGGGGAGCGACAGACCTCACAAGATGGAGTCAAATTTTTTTAATAAAGCGTTGGCTTTCATACAAGACCTGGGCTTAACAGATCAGGCAGTATTAGATCCAGGAGATATTTGGTGTTGCACTGGCTCTTCGGATGTCTTGATGGAAAAACTAGGGCTACGTCCTCAGGGCTTTAAGTTCAAGCTGGACTTGGTGTGTGCTCAGTGTGTGTTAGAGAACACACACACGGTGGAATAAACACAATTAAGGACAGCATGAAAATTTTTCTTTGTCCCAGAGGACTTTACCCACCCACACATACAGCCACATACACACACGGTGTGAACTCACAAGGTTTTTGAAAAGCGCTGTGAGCTCCTTGGTGAAGACGGAGAACTTGAGGAAAGCCGAGCCCAGATCAGGATCGTCTCTGTACACACAGTTTTCTCCAAACTTCTCCAGGGCCTGAGTGTACTGCTCCTCATTTTCTACATGTGCTGGAAAACACACATATATATACACACACAGATTAACCAAAGTCTTTTTCTCTCTGATCCTAACAAGTTAAAAGTCAATCAATAAGCATTAATAATGCATGGCGACAGTCTTCCAGTGTAAAACAATCCAGTTTCCTTCCATTACACAGTTTTCCTCAAACGTCTATAGTGAAGGTGGTCAGCAGGGACGGACCAAAAGAGATACTCACCCCCGGCACAAACCATAAATTCTACAAATTAACCCTACATGTTGATAAAATGTTTCAGTCAAGTTATAGTTGCAATCATTTATGGAAAAAAAAAAAGATGAGACAGACCAATGAGACTATGGTGAATTATAAAGACCAACAATACAGGAGTTAATATTTGTTATGTGCTATAATAACATGTTTATGCGTTTGTGGTATTACAAACAGTGCCCTCTGGTGGACAAACCAGTCAACATCCACACTCATAACATGGTTGAAGGGTGTTTCTCCTGTCTCTTCTTCAGTTTTTTAAAAATTTCCCTTTAATGACTGATATAACTGGCAATACCAATAGATGGACAAATGGCTAATATCTGCTGCCTGATAAATTGGTCAGACTCTATCCAGAGAAGTGCGTTTTCTTGGTAGGCTACAGTGTGACTATAGGTACACCCACTGGGCATACTCATATTTTATAGGTCGTACAAATACAAATGATGAGATAATTAGCCTAAACAGAATGATACACAGAGAGAGCGCAAATGTTCAAATGATATGCAATAATAATATTATAAGGCCAAGCGTGTGTTTGTGCTTTCGCTCACATTTTTGACAACTGGTCCACATCTGAGGGTTATTTTTCAGCATTTGCTTTCCTCTGTAGCAATGAACCCTTTTATCTTCTCCCCGCCTGCCATCTTTCCTGTTCCTACAATACCGTCCTTTTCACTCGATGGCATCGATGGACTTGATTTTGTCTTTATTGTCTTCATGCTATAGACTGAACAATGTTGGGTGGGAAAACTGCAGTAGATCAGCAGTTTCTTTTATCGTTCTTCCCAATTTTGACGCTAAAATTGACTGATGAATGCTTATTGTAACAATAAATGACAGAAAATGGGAAAAAAGGACAACTGGTCCCTTTTAAATGTGTTACATATACTTTAGCTATCATCTAGGCAAGGTCTTTATATAATATTTTGCCAATCTTATCTATATTTTGTTGCCAGTGAGCTGCTTGTGCAGACCTGGGATGTATGTATGCAAATCCTGACAGTTAGTAATCAGCAAACCGCCAACTCCTGCTCGCTATTCACAGCCGTCCAAAAGCACGAGATTGCCACCAGGAAATATCCTAGCGCCCCTGTGGCTGCAAGACGATAGTGAGCAAGCTGGACTACTACACATAATGTCAGCATCTGATGGTTGCCGGGCTCGGTTACTATGTGCCCCAGTTCCCACTAAGCCAATATCCCAGCGCCCCTGTGGCAGCACTGATCACCACTGATTGGGCCGTCTCCGGACCAGTTCAATCTCAAGTTTTCTTTAATTTACTTAAATCCTCACTAAGGTTGTCAAAAAGAAAAAAAAATGTATCAATACTCAAATATTAATAGAGAATAAACATTGATATTAAATTAAATGAGGTCAGGAAAATTCCCATTTCAATACCACTGAATAATTAACCAGTTATCAGAAATGTTAACCACAACAATTTATCCAAAGTTCAACTTTAATGCTCTTCTAACTTAAGTGGTTGTGACTTTAGGTATTGTGTTGTTGTACCCTTCGTTTATTATTAGGTTTTGTAAAGAAATGTTCATAATCTGTAAAATGAATGAAACCTCTGATGATAATCTGAAATTATTTTGTTAAATCTGGGGTCAAACTTCCTCGTGGTATCGAAAAATGTTATTGAGTGTTTTCCTGGGTATCGTGACAACACCACGCAGACCATCGTGTCAAGCTTGCCATCTGGTTTTCAATGTAATCCGCAAGACGCACACAAAAGGCCACCCTCATCTAATGCCGCCTGCTGCCCCAAAATCTCAAAGTGTGTCTAAAATCGGTTTAATGTACCACAAGGTTAGGCCTAAGAGATTCCACTTAATGCACTTCACGCCACACTAAGCTGCTGATAACAACCAATGCCACTGGGACAGCCGTGGAGCCAGCGATGGAGCACCAGGGGACTGTTGCTATGACGACAACTTGCAGAGAAACGCAACAGAGGTGGAAGGAAGGGGTGTAAGGAGGAACAACTGAAAGAAAAAAAATAAGGGGATGTGGTGGTGGTGGTGAGGGGTGGGGGTGGGGGTCTGAAATTGTGAGGATGCATGCCAAAAGACACCTGCAACCACATTATGACTCAGCTTTTAAGAGGTAAAACACACACACACACA